TTCGGTTGCAACACAGCAAATGAGATCACGGACAGCACCAGTGATGCCCCTGTTCTTGGCGTTACACGCGGCATGCAAGGCGCACGGATGTTGTACGTAAATGTGGTTTCCCGCATCTACTCTGCGACATTTATTAAAATAGCTCATTAGTTATTAGTATTCAGATTATCGTAGTTTGAAATAATCAGTAGGCTGATTTGGGGTCAATACCATTAGTAGCTTATAGACGTTTATGATCATAGAAGCGCATGTCAACAGTCCGGATGAATATTCGTTAGTTATTGCGCGGAATTTCAACATATTTAAAGAGTGTGTTCATAAATCAATGAGGCAATGTGGATAATATTTGCTATTTCTAAAATTAAAAAAATTATCAGTTAACATTTCAGCACACGGGAATATATATATCTGTCCCATCCAGATCAGTCTAAAAATAACACCAATTGAACTAGTATTTCTCATGACTCAGTACATATATGTATATGTGAACTGAGATTATTCAGCTTCGTTGGATGCCAACTGTTGTAATATGTCCCCACCATGCGCTGCAAACATTTCCTTTAACGCGAATGTGTCAACACTCAATCCCATATGGTGAAGAACCTCGCACATACTAATAAAGGTACACCACCATAATGACGTTAGTATATAGTATATAGTATAAGGAAGTTTGAAAAACATATTTAGCACATAACATAATACATCACACAATCATATGTTGCCCCACGAACATACATATGTTTGCACAAAATATATTGACATCCACGTTAGAAACTGCACTGAATAACACATTTTTCGATACAATGCCCTGAGCTTGTATTGACTATTTGGTAGCACCTGATCGGATTTAAAAGACTACTCGGCAATTAGAAGGAAAACGGCAATACCACTAATGCATTTTTTTTTTTATAAATGATCGTTAAAATGTGTTAAATAACCGACTTACATGAAAATCTCTAAAAAACGAGTCTTCTTTATTGGTGTTGTATGGTAGGATGTGATATGGAGTATGCGACTGAATATTGTGTATATATTTGTAGTACATACCAGTAGAAATAAAATATTTTTTTTATTTGTTACTGGATCTATATTTAGGTAGGGTCAGAATTTGTGAGAGAGAACTGCCACCAAACCTCTTGCCAATAGCTTGGTGCATTTTTAAAATCCATTGTGGGCGGAATTTACACTCTATTTGAATTTTTCCTTGATACAGCAGCTGTTGTTGCATGTTGTTATTGGGGAAGAGGTTCCTGGGCCTTAGGTCCATCTGTATAATTAGGTTATTCTCGAATAGTGAGCTATGCCACGATCACTTAATCGTTTTATGACTATGCTGATATACTAATTGTACAAAGCAAATGTTAATCCAACATGGCTGTTATCACAATCCTTTCATATGTAGGCGAAATTGGAAGATATGTTAAGGGTTTTACACTTGCATGTTTTCAACTAATGTTTATTTATCCACATTGCTATTGAAATGCATATTTAAAAAAAAATAAAAAAAAAACAAAACACGCGTCTATAAAGTGTATTTTTTCCAATAATTTAGGTAATATCTATACATAGGTGAGACCAATAATGTGTTTACATTATTCTCACTTGAAAACGACCTTTACAGGCAAGTACATTTGCAATTATAAACATTCATATAGACACATTAGTCATTATCTAATGTGCAACTGTGATATTCGTGGTGTTTTCGCAGCAACAGTATTTTTCTAAATTTGGTTAGACGCAATGACCCCCTTAAAAGATAACAGCACACAGCGCATACTTTTAAACTGAGAAACAATAGCTTTTTTTGCAAACATGCCAGTATTGTATATATAAGACGCTGGAATATAACATTTTTATGTGCAGTTTTATTGGGTCACATTTACACAACTCTATATTATGTTACATGTGCTTGATGTATATAAAATAAAACAAAAATGCTGACTAGTTATTTTGAAAGTAACAATGACAGTACACGATAATTTCATAGATAATTCTCTGTAATAATCCATTCAAGCAGGCAAACTTTATTGAAAAGCTATATGGCGATACTTTTCATAACAGATGCAGCCATACTTAGGGGACATCGTGTAACTATGACAACGGGAATATATCCCTAGAAATACAGTCCCTGTATTAAGCTGTATTTGCACAAATCTATAAAAAAAAACAGCTTTGTAAAAGCTGTATTTGCACAAATCTATAAAAAACACAGCTTTGTAAAAGCTGTATTTGCACAAATCTACGAAAATACAGCTCCTGTATTAAAGCTATATTTATGCAAATCGTTTAAATCACAGCTCCTGTATTAAAGGTATATTTGCACAAATCCATTAAAACACAGCTCCTGTATTAAAGCAAATTTTGCACAAATCCACTAACACACAGCCCGTTTTTAGCAATGTTTGCACAAATCCATTTAAAACATGGCTCTTGTATTAAAGCTATATTTGGACAAATCCATTAAAATACGAACTTGACTCGGTTAACAAAGTTATGTGAAAGTCACTTGGTTACTTTAATCACTTTTATAAGACGTTTCACGCCCTGACTCCGAATAAAATGTTCAGTTAATTAGATTAAAATATACATGACTTGCGTTAGAAAAGTGCAATGCTTTCCTAAATGCCAAAGCATTAGATTGTACAATAAATGACTAACTTTATAAACTTACTAGAACCTTTGTGTTCTATGGCTGTTAGACGCGCAAAATCGAATCCGTTCAAGCCAGAAATATTCACCAGAATACAAGATGAACGGAAATGTTCGGAAACCCCTTTCAGTAAAATAATTGTTTAGTGTTTCTTTCCCAAATATATACGTTAACGCACAGGGGCTTGTCGACTGAGCGCGAAAGCCCCTTGGCGAGAACGAAGTTCGAGAAGGGAGGACACTCTACCACCAGAGTGACGTCATAGCTTTACAATTATTCGAATTTAAACAGTAATCAATCATTTACCTTAGAAAAAACAACACAAAAACTGAATACAGTTAAGTGCTAATCTATTCAAACCACCATCACGATCAAATTCGGCAAATTAGCGACAAAATACACGTTTTCCCGAGTCTGAATGACTACCGCTGTACGTCAGTCATTTGTTGGGTTGTTTC